GAACGCAAATCGTTTCACTGGCCTTGGGTCAGGCTATTTTATACTAGGATTGAGGATTTCCATGCCTCATGCGTTTGACTGGGAAATGATTAAAAAAAGCTGCTGCATAAGGCTGTTATGTATACTCAGTTTGTTGGACTGAAGTTGATCAGGCACAGTACAATGAGCGGTGTCTCGGCACTTTCTGCCGGTGGGGACAGTTTTCGCTAAATACTACCACCCTCGCGACCGACCGGCATCCAGGGTAGAGCATTGCTGTGTGAAACACATAGGGAGTCGTTTTCCACGTACTTTTTCGCTGGGGAGGGGGTCGTATTTTGTCGTCGGGAGAGGGGATCGTATGTGCCTTTAAGAAAAATTCGCGGCGTTGGGAAAAAATTTCTCCGGTTGTTGACTTTTCGCGTAATTTCCTGTTTCATGTGTATTGTATACCACATCCCGACCCCCCCTCCCCTTCTCCGCTCGACAGCAAAATCCTCAGGTGAAAAAGAACTGGAAAACGTAAGGGTCTTACCTACACCACCACTTCACACATTACGATGCTGAACCCTGCCGGCATCATAGCAAACTCCCCGAAAATTTGCCGTCAAGCCAGAAAAACAGACACCGACCAATCATCAGAAACAGTAATTTGTAGCAAATTAGCATTCCGAAAAAAATGTATTCCCCGTACCAGATACGACCCTCTCCCCTCCAACAAGCAAATGCGCATCCTTTGGAATCCTAAAGATGGTGGGCGGTCGCATGGTGCAAGAGATTTTATATTTACAGGTGGTCTCATCGCGTTCACATGGAGCGCTTTCAAAAGGAATGGAATGAGACCAGCCAGGAGCTGCCGTTCCATGCTTTGTGACACCGTCCTGCCCGATAAAGATGTTATCAAGTATAATTTTATTCATATGCATAACAGAGGAAGGGATGAATACAGTCAAAAGCTGGATAGTGGAGTGACAGCAGCGAAGTAATTCAGTTCTCAATGCTTGGCTGACGGCAGCTTAAATATCCTCCCATGCGTGACGTGGCATCGGTGAAGTGGATCCCACGGGTGACTCCGCCTTCCAGCATATTCTATTCGCCATAGCTCCTCCTCGAATTTCGACGACGTTCCATTGACTCTGAAGAAGCTTTGCAGAATATTTTAGGGCAAAAAATATCCGATAAGTGACCCCAGCATAATAGAGGTAGGATTACCAGATAGGCTAGCAGTGAAAGAATTATGAATTGAGTGGCAGCCATTTACACTACGAGTTAGAGTTGTAATGTGTACCGTAACTGCAACGAAATTATATTTCCCTTATGTGTTCTACATTTGCCTTCATTTACATAGGTAGGATGGGCAGTTCTACGTTTTTTTCTTTCGCCTGGTGAGAACAGAATGTATTCAATGGTACGGTAAGTAATCAAGTGGATTGATCAGCACTGCTCCGTGTGTGGATGTGATACGAGTACTATTCTATGTCCCGCGCACTGTACTTTCGTTTAGCATAAGAACAAGATGAGCAAGTTTGCGATAGGGATGCTGGTGACTCTTCATAATTATTAAAATTAGTATTAGATCACAAGTTCAAGTTGCTGATGTTCCCAATTTGGGCTAAAAAAAGTTGGGGAAACTTTGGACCGCCACTGAGTGCGTGTATTATGCCGAACAATTGCGGTCAGTAGGATATAAGCTTGCTGCAATCCCCGCCTATTATGTTTGTTGAATGTACGCGCCCTTTTCTCTTCAGAGATTCGCTTGACCAGCACTGAACGTAATTGTTCCTCCTGAAAAGCGCCCTGTTCCCATTTCCCGTATCAGATGAAGTAGTCACGGCTCGAGGGAGAACTGGTTGTGGTGGCGAATTTGCAGTGGGAGCGTTATACGACATGGAATGTGGAACACTTATTAGTTGGGTAATATTGACCAGTTGTTCGTAGCTTCTGACGTCTGGTTTGTGAACGGTTTTAAGCTGCTGCTCTGAAAGGCACGCGTTCGGCGATCGGTATAGAAGTTGAAAAATGGACATCGGATGTGTTAGTGCGGTTCCGCCGACGAAACCCCTGTACGTGGTTTTCGTTTGCAGAAAGTGTAATGAAGGGGCGCTATAGCGCGCATATAGTGTTTGAGTGAGTCCTACTCAAATCCGAGTGATGTCTCCAAGGCCGCATTTCTAAAATGAAGCCTGCAGGACGGAAAAACATGAAACTTCGTCACTTGCACGACGTCCAAGAATTCATATCGCGAGGGATCAGCTGTGGGGACGAGGACGTAAGGTTGAGATGGGGCTCAATTGGCACTATAAACTGGATCGGCAATGAGGTCATATCTTAGTGGCAGTTGGCATTTCTTTTCCTTTTTTTCTTCACTTATGGCTCAACTCGAACGCTTGTTACCTATGGTTGAAACCCTATCACTATCTGTGATGACGAACTGAACCCGCGGCTTTTGCCTACGAGATTTACGGCTATTCGCTGCGGCGGGTATGTAGCGAGCGGTGAACACAAAGTATTTGTGTCTCCGCCAAAGGTGGCTCGATGATGTCGAAGGAATTAACAGTTAGTGTTGGGAGTTGCTGGAGCTGTTAGTCCTCGGAACCGCTGATTGTGTGAGTTAGTGATTTGTGTGGCATTGGCCGGTAATTTGAACTATCAGGTCTTAATGTACATTAACATGCCAGTGTCCGTTGCGAAATATGCATCCATACCCATGATGAGAAGTCTGTGGTGGTGCCGAACTCATTTTTTACGTGGTGGGTAAGGCTTGCGCTTCCGAAAGGAATATCAAAGTTTCGAAACAGTTGCAACCATGACTTTGTCCAGGATAGGATGACACCTACATTAAATGTGATTATTATTTCACAAACGACGCGTTCCTATTCGCTTCTTTCTATTGTTGACTACTAGTATCAGCTACCCCTACCCATCCATCGCTAGCGTGGATGTGGAAGAGACGGTGTGGTGTATTCGATGATCGAACAAGGATGTCAGTCAGACTGATAGGTTTCCGGCCTTCAGCTGATGGCGTTAGCGGGTATGATGATGATCAACAAAGAGTACAGAGAGTTGTATATATTTATTGATTACATAACAAGTAGGGAAATGGGATAAGACGAGGAAAGCAGCAGAGGCTGGAGGCTGTAGAGACGATGCTGTTGCTGCCTTAATTTGTGGGTCGAGCTGGACTCATGTCGCTTGGCTGGCGACTGATGAAGCTACGACGACTCATACTATTGCATCATGCTGACTTTTCGGAGTAAGTCGACACGGCGGAGCGTGACAGTTGGCATGCACATCCTCATCACGCGTTTCTCGTGGATGAGACATGGTCCATTTCCTCACAGTGAGCTCGTTCCTGCGAGGTTTGATCGGTCACTCATTAACTTTTGAAGAAACAGGTATTGTTTCTAATATTTCGAAATATATTCAGCGAAATGATGTTGGATGTTTGAATGAGATCATTGAATTTACGATAAAATGGGAGAAAGAAGCGATAAATTTCACTGAACTTTCTGCGGTAAGGTGCACGGTGGTTGAAGCTTCATCTGATCGTGCAGCGGTGAACGGTTCTGTGGAACAAGAGAGGTTTTATATATTTCTCTTCATGTGCATGGTAGGGCAGGGGGACGAAGGATGCAACCGGAGGCTGGCTGGTAGAGGGACAGCTGTCGAAATGACGCACATAGTTGCGTTGTAGCTGGCGGCAGTCTGAAATTGGCCGCCCAAGTTTGTAGTTGTGATGTCGCGTAAAGCACATGGTAGGAGGAGGGATGCTGTTTCGGGCTTACGTCAATTTGGTTCAGATCATCCTGACATTTCAGCTAAAATCACTTTTCTGGTTCTGGTCGAAAAATGGTAATGGACAAGATGGATTCCAGAGTTTTTTAAATCCTTAAATCGGCGGGAGGAGATAGCTGCGTAAAACGGCTGCGGAATATCAGCGAAGCATGGTGCTTGAAACACCGAATGAACAGCCGCTGCGCTGTAGTGGCGCGAGAAACTCCATGCAGGCGATGAGAGCCTCGAAGATGAGGAAGCACGATGAGCGACTACACAGCGAACAGTTGAGAGCATTAGTCGAAGAGATCCGCGTACAACGTTGAACGGCATTCTGAGATTGAGGTCGTTCAAGAGAAGTGGTTGTGCACTGCAGGAGAATGGGAAGTCGAAGAAGCGATTAAGTGGGGGTGCATGCATCAAGAAGTCGGAGCGATCTCCGGTTCCGCAGACCTCCTGGCCTGCTTTTACTAACAGAAGATGACCCATGCAGTTGTAGGTCGTGATATTGCACCATGTACACTCCTCATCCCTGAGACGAAGTAGGCGTGGCATTTGAACATGGCCTAGAATGGGTTACTTGTGGGATATTTCATTTTGAGACAACTGTCATCTTGTTCTGTGTACGACAAGATGCATGACGCGGACTGTTGTCAAAATGAAAGCGTTCTCGTTCAAAGTAAGTACGCATGCACACCTACCCCATCTGAGGGATTTCGAGAGTACGACTATCGGGGACGATTTTGTGCGCACTTGGCGTTTGTGCCCACTTGGCGGTACACACTGCAAGGACCACGAGACACAGAGGTAAGCGCACAGTCTGCCTTCAAGAATCCTTTCATCTGCCGCTCAAATACGATACCCTTTCATGAGGGTTCCTTCATGATCACTGATTGCAGGTACTACTCTATGATTGCCACCGATATGCCCCTCACCACGAAGTCTTAAGGCCAAGGACAGGTTCGGAGGCTGTGCCCAGTTCACCTCCTTGTTAAGGTAACCACTTCTTCTGAAGTTTCTGTGAATTGTTGCAGCTCTCCAGATTGTAAGCTGAGCTTCTCGAGCCATTTCAGTGACTTGAAAGTAGCACTTCTGTCGAGGCATGAGATAAAGATTCCACCCTATCAAAACTTGTACCATACATAGTTACATTTATTCAAATCAACTCTGTAAGTTGCTATAATTTTGTTTCGAGTATAAAAATGTAATAGACTGCAATGAATGATGCTGTTTTTAACATGAAGTAGTCATTTTTCTCGTATCGTTATCGTCTTGTTCGTTTTATTAGGAGCTCCCTGGATGCCGCTCCCGATTCTTTCAGGGGTTCCAGATCTGAAAAATACATTTTCCAGATGGGCAGTATGAGACATAGCAAATGCTCCTAATAACCCTGAGGATGATGATGACGAGCTGAGTTCCAGGTCCGAATATCGAGGAGGGAGGGTCTCTTCTTTTGCCGTTTCACCAGAATCTTCAACGTTCCGAACTATGGCCTTAATGGTACTTTTTGTAACGAAACGGATATTATACTATTACCTGCTCTTTATAAAAGGTACGCTCCACTGGTGATCGTATTGGCGGATTCATACTGCCATTGTGCCGTTCTCAATGGTGCGCCGCTTTCTTTCGCAAAAAGACGCACCAATGGGAAGGACAGAATGATGCTTCTGACTCCGCCCCACAATAGTGTGAAATATACCTCCAAACCCACAAAATGACAAACCGAATATGCAGGAGGGTCATCGGGATTCGTATTTCCCATTTCCGGCTCGGCTGGTAGCACAACTACATGGGGGTATGGACCAACAGCAGGAAAGACGTAAGGGTTGTTCTGACGGCGATGCTGAAAACAGTGCAGATGGAGAAGCTTCAACTCTTTCAGCGCGCCATTTGCAACTATACGACGGTCCTACTGGTAAGTGTATAGCTGTTCAATATGATCCAGCTAAACAGTGATGAGCTACTTCTGAGCTGAGATGGGAAATGTGGTATACACATTAATGTCCTTTTATCATTAAGTATCTGGGCTGTCGACAGAAGGTCCTCTGTCACAGAATCACCAAGCACGAGGTTCGAATGCTATATTCAGAAAGGGATTAGGAGCCTACTTTGTATCTACAGGTGTTTCTGCTGCGGGCGCTAGGGTGTGTTAAGCTGCGTTCATACTTTGCGGCAGCGTCCACCAGCAGCGTCAGCGGTTAGCAAAGTGTAGAACAGCGCCTGTCAGCGTCTACCAGCGTCCACCAGTGTCCCGAGCGCCTGGGAAGTAGAGGTTTTACTACCTTTACTTCCCAGGCGACCTAGTGTCTACTAGCGTGTGCCAGCGTGCACCAACGTCTACCAGTGCCCTGGAGGGAAGAGTATGGCGCGATAGGAGGGTAGCAGACAGCTGGTAGACTATGAGGAGGTAGGAGGGTAGCAGACTGCTGGTGGAGAGTATAGCGCTGTAGGAGTGTACCACTGTGTGCTGCCCTCCCTGTTCTCCTCTCCCGAACGCTGGTAGACAGCCTCTCTGGCCAGAACGTCTGGTGAAGAACATTAAATAACGATATCATATATCTTTTCCTCACAGTCAACGTCGGCTCAGAGCTAGGTGATCGCTGGCCGCAAAAGTTATGAAAGCAGCTCATAGGGAGCAGCTGGCAAGCCGTTCCCAATCAGTTGTGGTCGGTAGCCCACTTCAGCTTCGAGACCATGTAATATGTTCTGACCGTCATGTTAAACTGTCCTTTCCAGGAGAGCTCTACCATAAAATCATTTCCAAGGACAGCCCAAATGGAATAGTGCAAACTGTCCAGAGAGCATTTTTAGCCCAAACATAGGCCTCCGAGCGAAAAAGTCCAGGCAGCTAAACAACATTTTTGGTCAAAAAGCGGTCAAGGAGCATTTGCGCCTATGTAATGTAGGAATGCTATATGTGAGAACTGCTCGAGATGCGTCAAAAAAAGGTTGGGTGATCCCTTGATTTTAGATCGACTATTCCAGCTGTAAGTCGACTAGAGCTTGCCTCACGCTTTTAACGTTTCTTCTGCGTCGAGGTTTAGAGCCCGAATTACCCACAGTACTACTACGACTGTGCCTTCGTATTTACGAGGTCTGATGGCCAGCCATATACAACGCAGTTCCTGCTGGCGTATTGATTCCAAAGTAAAGAGTTTATAATTAATTCATTTAAAAGTGTAGGTAATAATATTCACCTCATCTACTTGATATTCTGTGATCGTTTTTACAAGTGTTATCGCTAACAGAGCAAAATAGAAACAGCAGAAACCACACCATAAGTATACAAGTTCATCGTCCTCTCTAGTAGTTTTGGTGTAATCCTGTAGTGTGTCCAGCCCTAGAGTATCGTTTAATGGCTATATTCTTGATAGGTCGAATGAGTGCGTACGAGCTCAACCGTACCTAACAAGGCCCAAGCATCACCTTTCTCTTTGACCAATGCTTGATATCTGATAGGTGAACTGAACTTCAGTGTTAGCAAAGAAAACCACGCCAATGATTTGACGAATTCAAAAATCTGAATGTCTTTTGGCTGTCATAAGATATGTATTAGTTGAGGAAACTCATGGAGGTTGCCTTTTGAAGGCAGAGCCCGCGATCATTCGCCATCTCAGATAGCGGATTAGGGGTTTGTATATAGTAAGACAAGGTGCTGAGGTGAGTAACGCGATAGTGAAGAGAGAAGCAGGAAAAAAACATGTCCACTGTCCTAGATAGGAACCCCATTCCGATCCCAGTTTGTACGTGCCCAATTAACTCCATCTCCAACACTACGCCCTCATCCGCACAGCTGATTCCCCGATAAGAACTCTACGACCGTACAAGTGACGATTTTCATGCTTTTTCGTCCTGCAGCTTCGTTTTTCACTGAAAGGCGGGCCTTGAAGGCGGAGTCTGGAGGCGGAGTCACTGGAGAAAAGGAGGCGTCACTGAACCTATATTGCGCTATGGTGCCCCTCCGTTAGAATTAATTGTCGCGAAAAGGTACAAATTGTTCGTCGCAGACCACACTACCTTATCGACGCCATATTTTCAACGCCTAAACTTGATCGCGGACCGTACCTACAATGATTATCCTAGTAATGATGAGAAGGAGATTCCACTTACTACTACAAAAAGGAAAGGGTAGAAAAAGCATGACGTCCCTGTGACCATTGCCAGAAGTGCGAATACTATTGACATTGCCACAAGCATTATCCGTAACGTATGCAAACCTATATTGACATTTGTATTTGAATATTCAATCTGAGGTCGAAAATGTCATCATTATATATACCTTTTTCATTCACATTCACGACTTTTCAAACCAACCTCACGACTTTTCAGATCAAATTCAAGACGGTTGAACATGCCACAGTAGGCACTATTGCAGGACCCGCCCTGAGAGCTACACCCTAATTTCAGCGTGAACATGACTTTTGGAGTTTTATTTTATAACCACTACATCTAGGCCTTTTTGCGCTTTTGTGATTTCGCCTATACACAGTAACTGAAAAGGACAGCACATCAACACATGGGCAACTCCGCCCTCTTTTTAAAAGTTTGTTTCAAAACTTGAACTTTCATGCGTTGATTTACATCCATTGTTCACACGATGAATGTACCATAGATGCGCTTTCGTACTCCTTATCCCTGAAAAGGGGAAGGCGGCATCCGAAGGTGGCACACAACTGGTTACTCGTGGGATATTTCGAATTGAGACAACCGCCATCTTGTTCTTTGTTGGACAGAGACGTGATCACATTTGGAAAACATCTCTCAGCATAGCCATCACAACTTTTTGGTGGAGTACGCAGCCACGCCTACCTCATCTCAAGGATTTCGAATGTATGCATTCACACGTTAAGCTCCGCCCCGTCAGCCATGCCCATTTTTGCATGTTTTTGCAAGGTTTTGAATTTCATTTGAAATTTTCACATTTTTGGACGAACACAGGAAACTCCGTCCTCTGAGAGAAGCTCCACCCATCCCGAAGAAGCTCCGCTCACTTTCAAAAAAATCCTTAGATCAGCATTAGAGTCTCAACTTGTAGGAAGGGGTTGCTCGTCACTTGAAACGACATAAACAAAAAAATGGGCGATTTCTCTTTCTTGCCTTTTTTGACGTGCACCCTCTGGCCTACGAGGTGAGGATGTTCTGCTAGGCGTATTAATCCTACACGTCTGGGGAGTTTATTGTGCCACTTGCCTGTTTGTTAACTGGACATGCTCTATGCTGACTAAAAATTGCCTTATTCTGAGCTGATCCGATGAGAATGTAGGGATGTTGTTTACTCATTTTCAGAGAATAGTTATATTCAGTGAAACTTTTCGTGGGAAGAATTCCTTCAGGGCTTATAAAGTTGTACCTTGTTGATCTTCCATCATGGTGAATAGACAAATGAGCCAGTAAAAGAAAAGGTGGAACTTCAATGCACCCTAGAAGTACTTCCAACTAAGAAATGATAGAAATCTAGCACGTTCTCTGGCAGATTTTTTGTAAATCTGCGTTCACACTTTGCTCCACCAGCGACCAATAGCGTCCACCATCGTTCCGAGCGTCTGGCAGCGCCAGCGACTAGGAAAGTGTCCATATCGATCAAGCGTGTGCCAGTGTCTACCGTCTGCCAGCGACTACCAGAGACCAGCAGTAGGTTGCTCGTAGAGAGTATGGGGCAGTAGGAGGGTACCAGCAGTCTGCTACCCTCCTATCGCGCCATACTTCCCACTCCCAGCAGTAAAGTCGGACGCTGCTGGTGGCTGGTAGACGCTGGCAGGTGATATAGGTTGTTGCATAAGTTTTTTCCCCCTGTTTTGATCCTTCCGTATTTCGTTTGCATGGAGGTTGGTATTTCGTCATCACGTTCGTGACGTGTACATGATACTCTTTCACGACACTAGCTATCACTCACCCATCCTGCATTTGCAGGCTACAATGCCGCACAATTACCAGTGCAAAACCATGTCACAGTGGTGATTGTGCGGCATTGTGGCCTTCTTCGGGTCCCAGCCCCGTTCTTCTGGGAAGATGGAATCGACAAGCTGCTTCAGCGTTCGACGAGTAGTTCATGGTGATGGTGCATACCTCTAATCTTCAGGCTGGATCGCTATTGAGATATTTACAAAAAAGTCGGGGAAAAGAACTTATGCAACAAACTAATAGATCAGTGCCTGGACTTCCCTAGCTTTCGAGACGCTGCTGGTCGCTGGTGGACGCTGCCGCAAAGTATGAACGTAGCCTGATATTTGATTAGATAAATACACCTCCCCCCTCCCAGCTAGGCAGCCAGCACCATGCATAAGCGCAGATAGCTCTATCAGTCGAACCTTGGCAGTAAAGTCGGAAAAAGTAGTGACGATGCTCCATACTACATATTCTTAGCAGCTGATATAATTCCCTGCCATCCGTCACCACTGTCTCATCGCAACTTTCACGAAACCTTTATGATTCGGCGGTATCATGGCGACAGCGCAAATTATCGGCTCTAATCAGTTGTTATCACTCTCTGCTACCCAACGCTTATGTTCCCGTCACCGCCGCTGTACTTTAGTGTACTTCGCTGGCGAAGGGGCGTGTCAAGCGGGACGAATTGGCGCATCTCCACCAGTCACTAAAGTGAGCAAGTGATAAGACTGCATCATTCTCCCGTTTTCTACCATCGTTCCGCATACCGGGTTCAGCAACTGGTAGGAAACGGGTTCGGCGCCATGGTCCACTCTTAATGCCTACCCCTTCATCCGCACCGAAGGAGTATATCTGCTGGAATCAACTTTTCCTTTAATGCTTGGACTGGTGCTATGAATAAGGAAATACTTCAGTTCTAACGCTTTGCAACAGCCTCGATCAGGTCCTATTTCATTGTGTACCGCACTGCTAATGTTCTCCTCATATCCCCCATATCACCTGATAACCTTTGGTCTTTTCGACAAATATAAAAGGAACATACCTCGGAAATCAAGGAGAAGTAGTGCACGCTTAATTGTAAGCCCGCAACCTTGAGGCACCTGCACCTGTCCATTGGGGAGCTTAACAAGGAACTGTAACTATAAACTAACTATGAGCTCACTCTCTCCAAAGGTCTCCAGAATCTGATAAGGCTTAAGAGATGTCCAAAGATGGGAGTGTCAAGGATTATCAAGACTGACACCTCAGGAGTAGTGAGATGCCCCTAACATACAAAAGAAGAGCGAAAAGGAAAAGACAAGAGAATTCGTGCGCTACATACCATAGAATGGCTGGAGTAGGGGAGAGTTCCTCTAAAAATGAAACCTTACCGTGAGGTTTGGCCTATAGTGATTTCCGTTATCATCTGTGAGTAGCGTGAAGCACACTTCATAGGTCGTGTTCTTATTCGACAGCGATGGCCACTCATTGGATAAGTTGAATGATTGTTGCTTGCAGCTTTTGATTCTTAATGCTTAAAAATGGTTTGGCATGTTATACCTGTAGAACATTCACGAAGTTTTTTTCGCAAGGATACATTGAGGCGTTCATTCTCCCATGGGTTTAACCGCGATGCCATTTTCGCAGGAGCAGTTCCTAGTCATCATCTTTGATGAGTGGTGCCGTGGCACTGGAGCGACGGCAGGTGTCCGCAATATCAACAGTCCATTGTGGGAGGGCACCACAACCATGAGGACTGCACATCGCTGGTTTGTTCGCTTCACGAAAGGAAACACGATCTCTGAAGGGAAGACCTTGCTTAGACGCCCCTACGAAGTGAAAGACACCACCGTTCTCGAAGCTCTTAAAAAGGATCCGAAGGCTACCACCCGCAGTCCTGTAACAAGACTTGGTTGCACCTGAATGACAGTCGTCAACCGCTTGCAAACTCTTGGCTGAAAAGTAGTGGCTCGGTGGTCCCTCATACCTTGAGGAATGACACGCGATATACCTGGATACTAATTTGTTAGCTCCCCTTCTCCGCGCACATCAAAAGGAGTTTCTGAGAGGCTGGTTAGTGGAGCTGAGAGATAGGTCCTCTACGATTCCAATTCACAAAGTACCGTATGACTGTCCCTAGAGAAAATCCTCTACAATTTCAATTTACAAAGTACCATCTAGTCTCAAGGAAAAAAAACTCATCTTAGCAAGTCAAACCCGGCATTCTCTCCTAAAATGTGGTCAGCGATACTTGCCAATGAGCAGTGATGGGAGTCAATAACGAGCAAATAACTGGAAGCTGCATTACCTAGTGTTAAGACGCTTCGTTCTCATTGTACCACCGAAACGGCCGCTAAACTGCCTGTATTTTCGGAGAATGATCAATCTTTCCCGAAGTGTGATAATCACTGACATTGGGAATTGATCGCCCACTGGAAGGAAATAAGAAGCGATACGGTAGTATCTCGAAGACGGAGGTTAGACCGATGGTTCGGTAGAGGTGTCCAGTCAATGAACAGTTTTGTGAGGTTCACCATGCGATGCGCGCATAGTGCGCGCTACTCAAATTGGTATTCTGTTATGTGAAACCAGTCGGATAGCCCAACTGTCGCCAGGTGCTCCTCCTTCAATTTCACGGCCTGGCTTCGCCAAGCGCCCATCTTTTATTCGAGTTAGAATGTGAAAAAAGCCGGGTGATCCGAGGACATTTTTTGAAAAGAATGTAGAAAAATGAGTTGGAAAGAGCTAAGCCTCAGTCATCACCTAGGCACATTTGGTCTCCTCTCTAATTATTGAATTTTGACGAAGAGAAGGCTGCACCGTTGAATCAATGACCGCAGTTGTGATATGATAAGGGATTGAAGTTGAGGCAAGGCGGATGAGCAGTGTAACATACAGTGTTACTTTTAGGAGAGGTACAACGCGGAGACATGAGCGACAGTGAGAAATGAGCGACAGTGAGAAGGAAAACTTAACTTCGCTTTTCATGTCAGCATTCCCACACGGGGAGTCTGCATGTTACTCCCCACAGGACGTCCCCATTCTCAACGGCTGGTGGTTTCCCCTCCATTTTTTTGATTCTTGCGCAACCTACATCTCCCAGCACATAATCGTTGCACCCCCCCCCCTCTGCTCGACATCATTACATGCATGTAGCAGCACAGCACATGATTCAGTGGACGATTACGATTTTATTGACATCGCGATGGCTGAAAGAATGAGTTCACACGTTGATCCCCTAATACTTTATAGAATAGTGGTAAAATATTGGGTCGGGGAATGAGCTCGTCCGGTTTTTTCAGAGCTTTATTAAAATGATTTGTTTGTTCTTT